ACACAGAAGGTGCATGGATGGCTATACAGTACTGTGCAAAAGTCTTAGGCAGTCCAAAGAAATGTTTAAAGCTGTTTATCTGGGTAGCAAGTGTACTTTGGCTTAGAACAAAAAACACAATTTAACATTAGAACATGTGCAAATTAAGAGTAACACAATAAAATGTGTTACTCTTAATTTGTATTATGTTAGTAATAATTTCTTCTGTTTTCTAAAAAGTTCCTGATATCTAGTTGGATGGCTAGATGAACACCGCTTCAGTTCCCAAACTTCTCCTCAGGGGCACCTCAGCCGTTCCATGATTTTGTTAAATTTCACCAACAACTTAATTAAATAATTAAATAAACTGGTTTAAAAAGTCAGTGAGAGATTGACTAGCTGTATGAGGTGCTAGTGGCCAAGTCAAAACATACATGGCTGCACTGGACGGTCGCTGCAAATACTGGGGTGATTTTAGCAGAGGTTCTGAAATGGCTAAGCTGACACACTTTGACAGGAATAATATCATAGTTTTACAGCAACATGAGTATAATCTAAACATCATTTTCTTTGCCTGCGTAAGACTTTTGCACAGTACTGTATGTATTATGCGACTGTGTGTGTGTATACAGTACCAGTATATACCAGCAGCGTGGTCGTCATTTACTCACGGTTCTGTCTTACTCACATTTCCCTTCAGAGATACGGCCCAGGTGACCTGATTTTATCTCCATACATTCAAAGCAGCCGCTCTGTTTTGAACTCACACATATTGGGATCTTTCTTTGGTTTCATTCTGTTTAATTTCAGTACTAATTTGCATGACACTGGTGTTTCTGTCTCCTTGCCCAATCATGACAATTATCACCTATGACAAACTCAAACATAGTTACAGCTTGTTTCTGCAAAGTACCTAATAGTTACAAGGAATTTTTCTTTGCACTTTAGAACACAGTATTTTATTTTTGTTCATAGTATTATTACTGGGTCATTCCGTGTCTTATGGCTGTAGTTTCTGCGATCGGCTCCAGACCCCTAGAAATGATTGGATGCTTTGCATGACACCTCAGAATAAACTGTATGTAAAAGTACTCGGTGAAAAACTTATGATTCTGATTCTAAAAAGAATGTGACCGTTCAGGGAGGCGGGCTGAGTCACCCCAGACCCATTTAGGCATCTCTCAGGTGGCAATTAACATTCTGTCACATTAAGTTCTAGAATTCTGATTGGCTGTTTGTTATTGCTAAGCCCCTCCCACACAATCTTTTGGAAACTGAGCCCCTTTTGTCAACCTCCCTTCTCTCATCTCATCCTCCGCACCAGCCCTTCCTTTGACCAGCGGCCTTCATTCAAGTGCGGGATGAACCCAAGTGGCCCCCATCGATCGGCGTACTCAGGCGCAGTTGTCGCCTGCCATGTCTAGATGATGTGACCACAGCCTCCATGGAGCGTCTGGCCAGTTTCCGCTCAGATTAGACAGTAAGGCCCTATAACTCCTTCAGATCCTTTTATAGCTTGGTTCCTCCTTATCTTAGTGATCGTGCTCAATTTACACTCTTTCTCAGCGTGTTCCATGGATGACTGGCCTTTCAGAGGTGCTGGCCCTAAGCACTGAAACACACCACCCCCTACTATGACTGCGACACTGTGGCAACTTTAAAAATACAGCTCGCTACGTTTAATTAGCTTTTCCTAACCCTGAAGGCTACCTTGTAGATTCTGAGCATGTCCAGTGCTGTTTATGACAGAGAAACATGGACCGTTTGTGGGTCCAGAGGTCTGGGTCGAGAAACACTGCTTTAGAAGATGGATGTTTTATCAGTATTATTATTATTATTATTATTAATTAGGGGCACTGTAAGAGGGGGAAAGGTAGCCCTAAAAAAATGTGAAAATACCTGGATTGGTCTGGACTGGGGGACCCAATATGATGCACTGTCATGGGGCCCAAAGTGTTTAGCGACGCGCCTGATTATCATTATCACTATTAATATTTTGTCTAAGTTCGAATTCATTGAAGAACAGTGTAGGTTTGCATTGAGTGATATTATCAGCTTTGGTATTGTACCCTTATCTCCCTTCCAGCTACGTACCAGGCATTACTGTACTGTAACGAAGATAAGCTGTTCATTCTGACGCTCCTTTTGCTGGAGCCCTTATCCCGCCATCAGTGAATAACCATACATCGTTTCGTGTTTGATACGTAAGATTAGATTTAAACCCGCAATAATAGTCCCTCGCGGAAAAGCAGTGTCTTTACGTTAACTGTACAGATGTCAATTTTTGCGCATATAATGATCAGTCTAGGAGGAAAATGTTTGAAGGATCTTATAAAAAATTTCAAGTAAATATTCATGATATTCATAAATTATCATAATCATAAAATTAGGGAAAGAATAGGCTGCTTTTTAGTTTGTTTTACCTTAACCGTAAAACGATTTTATGTACCACTAACAAAATGACCTTGGTTAGCACATTTAGATATTAAAAACAGATTCGACAATCTACATAACTGCAATAATTGGTTAAAAGTCACAGTAACTAGAAAAAGCAACGGTTAAGTAGCTGTATTTAACATTTAAACTTCTATTTGTTGTGCGTAATATGAAGTTATTACGGGACGGTTACACGCACGTGCACACAGACACACACACACGTCGGGTAAACATATCTTTATGGGGACCACTCATTCATTTGTATGGGACAAATGCTAACGCTAATTATGACAGCCTTAACCCCTACCCTGCCCTAACCATAACCATAAGTAACCAAACAAAATACAAGATTTTACATTTTAATTTTTTTCATTGTAGTCACAGATTTTTTATTAAATTGAGTTTTTTTATTATAAAAAAAAACAGGTATTCATCACGTTGTGGGGACATTGTATCTCCATAAGGTATGGTATACCCGCTCACACACACACAGACAGACACAACTCGCAATTTGTTTATGGCCCTCGCTAGGAAACCAGCTTAGGCCACCTATTATTATTAGTTCTAACAGTATAACAAATAGTAAATAACTATGACGCACATACACACGCCTGACCATCGGTTTTATATTCATTTGCTTGCAGCAGCGGCCTCGGTTCTAGGGGCTCCGGCTGGTATATATACGCGGTGGGTCGCTGGACCATTTAACGGACGGACGCTCTTGTATCGTTAAAAGCAGCGCCGGTTGTACTTCTTCTCGGACACTAGATGTCGGTATTGAGCTACGCCCAAAGCTGTATTGATGCATGACTTACGGAAAAACACTTGCCTTCAAGGTGACAGGGGATCCCGGGAGTTACATGCTGTTACTCAGCTAGAAAAGGTAACGTTTCTTCTACAGTATTTTCGCAAAAAAAAAAAAGAAAGAAACACAAAACAGTTTTATCATTACAAATCCTCAATCTGAGTCGAATTACGGAAAACAGCTAATAATCAAGATAAAATATCTTGAAATTTCCTACAGGCCTTGTCTGTCAATAAAATACTAACGCTGAATGAAAACCTGTAACAGAAAAGTGCTTCTGTTTAATACTGTTCTACTTACTCAGTGTGCTAAATTTTAAGATATTTAGAGCACTTCAGGTAAAAATAGTAAGCAAACAAAAGTGAAGCTCTAAACCACCGCACGCATTTCCCTGGTCACATGTCGTCGGTTTCAATAGTCTTTCATCTTTAAGTGAAAAATCTAATATGCAAGGACGCATACATGCATACATTCCAGCTTTAATGCCTAGCTGACAGACATCTCTGGCAATTTCACTTTCAGTTACTGAGCCATCTCTGCCCCACGTCATTACAAGGTGAATAAGAAAAAGATTTGCATTGTGGTATGAAACACAACAGCTGGAGGCGAAATCGTGCAAGGTGCTAAATTTGTGGTATGAGTGATCTGTTATGGTTGGAAAAATATGTCCTTCATTACAAAAAATTTCCATCTGCACGTCTTGCAGTGTAACGGTTGTCCAGGATGACGAGCTCT